GACCTTCCAGTCAGGCTGGTATGACATGGGTTACAGGTATCCTATCCCAACCAATCACGGAAGACAGTTAGCCATAATACAGAAAGAATTGCAAATTTTCACCATCACTGGGATTTGAACTCTGGACCTGCCACTTGGGGGTTGACAACCTATCCACTTCACTAGGTCACCACACTCCAAAAAAGTAATTAATTAAATACTAATAAAATTTAATTAGCATAATGTTTAAAAATTCTTTAACTGATCTTTATTTTTTAACCTTACAACAATAAACCTTTTTAGTTTTATAATAATAGCAGTATTGGGCTAATTAGACCAATTCAACTATTTGACCAAACCAGTTTGGCCAATGACCAGTCTGATCAAGCATCTTTAACATTAATCAAGTTGGTTAAATGGTCTAAATATAAAAACAAATTAACCAATTAGGCAAATTTAATTATAATCAAATTTGCTTGATTAGTCAAATTTGTTAATTTAGTTTATATTGCTAGACTATTTAACCAGACCAGACCAGTTAGACCAGAAACTCTTTGATCAATGACTGGCAAATTTATAGTTGACCACTAATTTGACCAATGCTGAATAATAGTCTTTAGCAGGCAGAGTTTTATTTATTTTTTTGATTACTTTTATTGTTTTTACTTAGTTTATTTATGCTATTTGCACTATTTTATATATTGATCTTGCTGGTTAACTTTTCTAACCAAACAGCTTTGATTTTATTGTAATTGTTAGATTTCTAACTAATAGGGATTGGAACCGCCTAAAATTTTTCTTAATCGTTTAATCGTTTAATTTGGCCGGCGTTAAAATAATTCCAGCCCACGACCAACATAATTCTGCCCGGAACTATGGAGCAATTTTTAAACGGTTAAACGGTTCCAATCCCCCACTAACTAAACTATCACTTATTAATAGATATATAGATAAGAATCTACGTTTTGTTAAATAAATTGTATAAATTATACGTATAAGTTTTTAACGCATATCTAAAAAAATAGATTTTTAAAAAAATATATATTACAACTTTCGTCGTTAGCAGCGATAATACAGTATTGTTAAGTGTAAAATATATCGAAATTTTATATAATTGTATACGTATATAATAAAGTGTATCTTATTACATATATATGCGGTACATATATTATATACATATAATACTGCATTAAATTGTTTTTTGGGGCAATAAAATTTTAATATAATGTGAATCAAGAACGACATTTATTGAATGGCCGGCATTTACGTACTATATGTCGTTTTAACCCTGTTTTGGAGATGGCTAAAGTTGTTTAAGAAGCCCGATGAAAATAAATACAAAAAAGTTTAACATTCTATATATGAAACAGGTTCTGGAACTTGGTAAAAACTCATTTTTCACCAATTTAAATCATGCGATGACTATAAACCTTGATATGCTGATGTTTAAAATTAATATAATCGCATCACATGTTTTAAATCGGTGAAAAATGATTTTTTATCATCCCTAGTTATAAAGATTTTAAAGCTGAAACCGATCCTAAACCAACCAAAATATTCCCTACACTAGTGTATAGAAATTTTTTTTATTTGGATGATCAATGGGCTTAACGCAGAAGCATCTAAATTAGCCAATTACAAATATAGAACAATGAAATTTGTAAGTTCTTTGTTGATTTAAAAACAGAGTTTAATTGTTAGCGGATAATTTTCATTTATAACATGTCTACAAAGCTAATGAGACTCGTTTCTATTTTCTTTGATGAAAAAATTTATTTTTAATTTGTGTCGCGCTGCTATGCACATGATATTCGTGGATGACCAATCAAAGTTTCTATAAAATAAAAAAAGTAAATCCCATGCTTCAGATTCATAACGATTTCCTTTCCTAATAATGTTTTTCAAATTTTTTTTTCTATAATATAAAAGTGAAATGTCATGTGATTTTGGTGCGCGCCGACCAGTTTTGAATCTGTTAAAAATATGAGTGCTGCAAGTAAAAAAGCAGGAGGTCTAAATATAGAATACTATAAAATAAATATTCTATATTTAGAATTTCTTGTTTTCACTTGGCTCATATAATAAAAACCTGCAAAAGTTTTGCCGTCGATTTATCCGAGATAAATATTTACTACGTAAATCATATTATTGGTTAGATTTATTTGTTAGAGGAGGTAACTTATCTTTATCCGCGCCTTAAATTTGCATTTAGAATTTTATTTTTGAAACAATCAAAACAAAAGTTTCTGGAAAATTTACAGTAGTGTTATTGTTATTGTAGGGCGTGATAAAACTAGTTAGTCTATAATAATGTATTGATCACATACTAAGTGCGACAGATAAGCTCTACAAAAATAAAGATTGTTCGTTTAACCAGTTCAATAACGATATCGATATGTAAAACAAGATTTTCCCGAATTAATTTGTCATCTAAAAATGATGCATTGGTATCTTTCACGAATTCAAAAGGTACCATTATTGTTGAATTTAATGTGGCTAATCATGTCGATAGTAAACAAGAGCAGGCATTCCTCAAGCCACTTTGAAAAAGCGTAAAAGTTTGTGAAGTTTCTTTTACAATAAATAATTATAGCAGTAAAGAAATAAAATTTCTTAGCTAAGCCAACTCATTTTCAAAAAAGGTTTTTACAGAATAGTGTCCACATAAGAGCCTAATCTAGTAATTGCTAAGCAATACGAACGCTTAGTTCAAAATATTTAGTAACAAATTAAATATTAAAATTCTTGCACGAAGTGCGAGCGAATAATATTCAGTTACTCACATTTGTTTATAATTAAAGACTTACAAACAATGCATGAGAAGGGCGAGTAGCATCGCCAATTCAAATTTCCAACATTTCTCTTTAAAAAAATTAATAACTTTAGAGTTTTTTTAGAAAATTTCAATTTTATTCTATGATTTTATAGAAAGAATCATAGAAGAAACTCATTTAATATTTAACTAAAAAGATGGCCGTTCATGCACTTCTCATTAAAATTGCTAATTTATTAGCATTCTTTTTTCTCTTGGGTGTCAATGTCTATTCGGGTCTTGGACCAGATAATGTTAGTCTGATCTGTGGTCAAGAAATTTTAAATCCTTAAGAGAGGCACATTAAACATTTATTCTGATTTTTTAGGAATCTCGTTACATTACAGACCACATTACATATATTTCTCCAGCTTATTTTACATTTTATGTCTGGTTCCTTATTCATCTTTTGCTAACAGGTTTTGGTGAGTATTTATTAATTATAATGGTAAATTACATGGTTTGCAAGTACGAAGTCTTATTTTTACTTTTATTTCAGTCATTTACCAGTTCTTTATAAGTGACGACAAAGCTATCGTTGACGATAATGGTATTCACTGGCATTTTGTTGGTGTTGCCCTGCTGAACACTTTATGGCTTGCTTTATGGGTAAAAATATATATTTATTAATATATATATATAAATGTCATTTATTTATAAAAAAAAAAAAATTGTTTTACAGGACGACAATTTACTCTTCCTATCGTGGATTGTAATCCTTATAGTAGCATGTCAGATAACTCACATTTATAAAACGCTAAATGAACACCATAAACCTGAAAGCTGGTTGGATAACCTATTTATTCAATTGCCATTCACATTGTACCATGCATGGATTGTTATAGTAGCAGTTCTTACAACCTTTGCCACCATTACACCCGAAAAAACTTATCACAATGTTACAACAGACGACACGACAACTTCAGTTGCTGACAGTCCATCCATAATTGTACAACTTGTTGTTATTCTAGGATTAATCTTTCTTGAAACGACTGCCGTTGCTTACATTGAGAAAAAAGAGGATTACGCGGGTGCAGCGGTGAGTTTTTTTTTTTTTTTTTTTTAACCAATTTACAATTTAATTGTGATAATTAATGATTTCATTTTAGGCCATTGCTTGGACATTATATGGTATCTGGTGTGGACAAGAAGATCCAGTAATTCATTGGGCTGCACTTATACTTGCAGTTATAGCCACTATTTATCTTTTTAAACCTTTGGTCGTGAAACTCTTTAGTAGTAATAAAGAAACTACTCAACTGAATGCGTAGAAATTATACCCCTATTTTATTTATTAGATTATATAAAACTAAATTTTTAAAATTAAATTTTTATTATTACTAATTTCAACTGATGACTTACTCCCAAAAAAAGCAAAAAAAAAAAGAGAGATCTACCCAGTAGACAAGAAAACAAGTTTATTCCATGTAAACAAATACTCTAATGTCATGTTTGAAAAATGTACCCAATTAAAATTTTTTTTGTCTTTAAATAAATATATAAATTGTTTATAAGTTCACTGTTAGTCTATTGAGAAATAAAAGTGTGATGCTATAAGAATGATAATGGGTGTCATAGTCACTAGGATGAATGGTGGTAATGATGTTGAAGCAGCAGAGCATTCCGCACAGTGAAAATCTACAATGTTAAAATAAAAAGTTTAATTTCAAAAAAAAAAAAAAAAAAACAACCAGAACCAAAACAAAAAAATTTATTTATTTTTTTCTTACCTGATAAATTAGAATATTGTGCAGGTTTATACATGCTAAACGAGAATGTTGAAAAGGCCTGCAACCTTCCGGCACCACCGGTGTTTTGTGGATGCCAACCCCTTTCGTCATAAATAAAAAGGGTATACTTCGACTCTATTAACTCGGGGTTAGTAATTAGGCTCGTATCCCAAACGTAAGTAGTGATAGATGGATCCAAAAGATTGGCTACAGAATAATTTTGATTAGTTGGACTATTCACCCAACTTTCAGGCACAGCACTTATATTCAAGTATTTGGGCGCAACTGCGAAGTTGGTTGAATAAGCCCATGAAAAAGTAATTTTACGTCCGATGCGTTGAAGTTTATCTTGTGGTGTAGGACTTGTCATCGTGATATAAACTGGTTCAGCTCCGGGAGGTGGAAGGCTTGAGAATGCAGAGGACGAGGGAGATGTTGAAGTGGCATTTGAAGATGTTGAATTTGTAGTTGTCGTTGAATTTGTAATTGTCGTTGAATTTGAAACTGCTGTATTTGAACTTGTTGGATTTGGAGTTGGTGGAGTTGGAGTCTGTGAAGGCCGTGTTTGAGCTTGAGAGGGATTTATTTCTGAATAAAAAAAGAAAGCTCAACTTTATATTTCTTTTACATTTTTTTTTAAAAAATATATTTCTCGAAAATATAGTAAAGATCATACTTACGTCGTTTGTGCAAACCGTCAATAGCAGTTGCACTTTGAATATTCAACGTTACAAATATCAAGAAAACCATTAAAACCGTCAACTTTAGTATCGAACGCATTATTTCAGATAATTTTATGCGTTAAAAAATATATAAGCTATATATAATATTATTTACGACCTATATTTGACTTATATTCGATAGTTTGTTTTTTTTTTTGTTTTCGTTTCGTATTAAAGATATATGCCACGAGAAATAATGAAAGGAATTAGAATGTTTGTCAATAATGATCCAAAAGTAAATAGAGTCATTTGTGCATAGTCAAAAACAATCGATCAAGCATACTTATGACACTAATTATTAGGAATGGTACGACCAAAATAAAACGGCATTCAATATAAATTACGTTTTAATGATACCTGATCCCTAAAGAGCTCCCAATGAAATTAAACCTTATAATTAATTTACAGGTTAGGAAAGAGAAAAAGGAAAAACGGAGTAAAACAAAAAAAAAAAGTTTTTGAGGCCTTGAAACGAAGTAATGTGTGGATCCCTTTTATTTACTCGCATACCCAATCATACAAAAATTATTTTAATCTAAAAGGGTGGCTATTTATATTATACAGTGCTTCATGTTCCATAATTCCAAATATAGTTTTGTGTTGAATTAGACAAAAAATACACGTTCTTGATTCGTTTAACAATTGCTTATAATACATATAATTTAGATATTGCGCAAATTTGCGTTTGATCCGTGCGGCTTATACAGAAGCTTTATGGAAAATAGAAATGTAGTACTTTGTAACTGTAATTACTTTTTTTTTTTTTTTCTTGACACGTTTACCGACTTCCAGATGATTCTGACAAAATTAGGCATTTCATTGTGAATCTTATGCACTTTCGTACTTTTTTAGAAACTTAAAATGATGCTATAAATATCGGTATATATCATTTTCTTTCATCTATCTTAAGCAGGAGTGCAATCTTAATTTTCTTTTAATATCACCATTTGTCATTATTATTATTATTTAGTACATTGTTAATTTCCAGAGTAGCCGAATGACTCCCTATACTATTTTGTAAAAGATTAACACTATATGAATAACTATAATTGGCGCCATGAGGATCTTATAAGAATTCCAAGTGACGTTCATTTAAGCTGGACCATTTACACTGATACACTAACCAGCTTAAAAATCGGAAACAACTTATTATGTAGTTTTTAGTTATAGATTATCCTATAAACTTTCCATTTTCTTAAACTATTTATATCTTTAACCCAACAAATTTACGTGGCCAAATTAAAAATGTAGATCATATAAGTTTTTAATGGTCAAAATGTAGTATAAATGGGATGAGGTTCGCTTATCAAATTACGAATTAAGTAATACCTTATAATCCGTCAAATATTATTTTTTATATTAAATAATTAAATTATGAATATGTATATAAGAAAATCACTATTTCAGGAAGTGCCGAATTAGGTTTCCTTGTTCATCATCCATGTACGTAATGCCTCTTGGTCTGTACTCTAAAAAATTGCCCGAAAAATAATAATTATGATTTATTAATGAAGTCTTAAATTTGAAATGTGCCTTTATAGCTTTTTTAATGAATTATAAAATTATTAACTTATTGGAATTTTACGAGTAATATAGCATGTCGCAAAACTCTGGAGGCACTCAGTCTGATAATAAGTAATAAATCTGAAATAACAAATTAAAATCAAATGCAATGTCCCTCTAAATGCATGATAATTGTCTGGTTTTATGTTGAATCTTATGAGTAAATGTACGTTCTTTGTTATCTAAATGCACAATATCTTCTTGGATATATATAATATATAATTACATAACTCCCTTCATAAGCCTTCGTATGTGTATTCACGTGATCATTATCAGTTATCCATGCAAATTTTTATTAACTACAATTATTAAATACAACCTTTTTTTATAAAGTAAAAATAAATAAAATAATAATATAATTCTTATTTTCAAATATTATTAAAAATTTTATTTAAATTATTTAAATATCTTAAGAGGTAAATCGCGGTTAAAGGGTATAAAAAATAGCAAATTTAATAGGGTTGGAATGCAGCTAGCTTACAATGAAAAGTTTTCTTAAGAGCAAGTTATTCCCGGTTCTAGTGGTGGTAAATTTATTAAAATTGATTTAGTAGATCGCGAGTTAATAGTATTTTCTTCCTTATATGATTTTTACATGTTGCCAGAAATTTTCGGCATTCCAACATTATATAAAGTATTAGTAAATATTCGCTGATTTTTACTATGAAATTTATACCTTAAACTGTGATTTACCACTTAAATTTTTAAAATAAATTTATAATAAAAATCTATTTAAAAAGTGAATATTATACTATAACTTATATTATTTAATTACAGTCAGATCTCTTTATAGTTATGCCTTAAATTCCGTATAATAATATTTTATTTCTATTAGCTTTTTATCTTTGTATTTATATGTACTGTATACAAAAATCCGAATATCTTAATGCACAGTAACTACATAATTAAATTTAAAAGTAACTATATAATTACTATGCATTAAAATATTCAAGTTCCTGTAAAGTATATACTGTACTTATATATTTTACTTATATACTTATATACCATATAAGCACAATTACCTTATAATCATTATATAGTCTATCTTCCCTAAACCGTATGCATGGTGGGAGGTTATCAGACTTGAGCCTGCAAGTCACATGATTATAAATCAAGCTGATTGGGTAAATTATATTCGCTATTACGTATTATAATGAATGTATCTATCGCTATATACCAATAAATACAAGTTATCAGATTTGACGGACATGGTGGATCAATTTTTAATCAATGATGGCAGGTTATCGGTTTTGACAGGATCAGTTTATGAGAAAGTAGCCGGTATTCCTTTTTTTAAAAAAAGCTACCTACACAACATTATATTGTATAAAATTATTCTTTATAAAGTCATATCAACTAATATAAATATTCAAAAATAAAATTATTTTATTAATTTTAAGCATGTGTGGGTGAGTCAATAGAAATCAAGTAATTTTTTTTTAGTAAAATTTTTTTTTAACTTTGATTTTAAATAAAAATAACTTGACAATAACTTAAATCAGATTTGATAAAAGTTTTACAAATTAAATTTTTAAAAAAATTTACTAAAAAACATTTGCTTGGTTTCTATATATTGACTTATCTCATGTGTTTATTCAAATAAATAATATAAATTCAACCAAAAAAATCAACTAATCAAAAATATAAATTGCGTTAACAAAACTTTAAACATTCTAAAAGCTAAAAAACAAATTAGATATTATACGTTAATATAACCCAATTTTTTTATAATCAACCGTATATATTAGCATATATTAGCATATATTAGCATATATTAGCATGTATATTACGTATTAGAACCTATTGTTTAAATATACCTAGAAATAATAATAATAGCAAATCTCAATGAGTTGTAAATCTTGATATTCTTGTAAATAGGTAAACACAGCATAGCGGGCTTTATCGTGATTGGTTGATTTTTGCAGATCATCTTTTCATAGTAAAGTCTTATTAAAGTAATGATTTTCCGTCACAAGATTGAATTCAGGGCCACGAATACGAATTTAGGAGAGGTAAGACAAAAAAAATTAGAAGTTCACGCCTTACTTTATAAACTTCAATTTAGCCAATAACGATAAGTCATAAATATAATATACAAATCTATTAAGTTTAGTAATTTGTTTCTGAAAGAATTATTTTCACTAATGAATTATTTTCACTAATCTATTTTATTATGTTTTATTTATAATCCCAAGACAGGTACCGCCAGCAATATAGATCAAAAATTATAAAATGCACCTATGGTGTTGAAAATCATATAAAATTTTATTAATAAAATTTAGGATTAGGGTGCAGTTTTAGAATAAATGAGATTTTTTTTTTTTTTTCTTAAATATTAACGAATAAATGAGATTTTTATATATTATAATCAGAGTTGGCATGGACCGGTCAATGGTCAAGCTTGACCAGACCAGTTTGACCAATTTGACCAGTTGGTCAAAG